TCCTCATTCCAATACCGAGATTCGAGAAGAGTTCAACATGGAGATCAAAAATGAAATAGGATATTTCACAAAGAAGACAGCCATGACGCCTAAGAAATCATAGTGTAGAAGAGGATTCATTTATTCGTTTCTGATCAAAGAAGAGCCACCGGATATCTAACATCAACCATATCTGAGCTACACGCGAACCATGACCCGAGGTAACTCTCTAAACCCTCAAATTATGCACAATACTAACTTGCTCTGTCTTGGTGCAGGTCAAGAAGTTTCGAGGTTCCAAGGGAGAGGGTATGATGAGGTCATCAAACCAGTAGCTGAATTGGAGCTCCACAAAACGTGCCACACAAGCTGTATGGGAGTCGACAGAGAAACATCTGCCTTCCCTGGAGCATACCGAATTAACCACGGAGATTCAGAGCATAAAACCACTCGGAAAACGTTCTCATCTCAACTATAGCATGGCAATAATTTGAATCAACCTAATCGTAGTTTCCACGAAGGAGATATTCAGTTTGCAAGTCGAGTGTTTCTTGACTTGCCCGGTTTGGACATATGCAAATTAATTAAATATTTCCGACCAAACCAAGAAGATTTAAGGTACAAACCGACTTGTTCTATATTCTTGATCCATCAGAGGCTCATGAGGATTTTGAATCAAGTCAATACCGGTTTTTGGTTTGGAGATATTAAGTTTCTAAGCCGAAGAATCCTACACTCGCCTTATTTGGAACCTTTCGGATTTGGGAGACTTCAATCACATGTTTGGCGTCTAGGAGAGTATCTACTACAACTAGAGGCTCCTAAGAACACCTCAAGCATCATTCCCAACCATTGGATCAGGTGGATTCAATCTTACCTACGTATACACCAAAACTTTCCATATGCAAATCCGATTATGGAAAGTATCTTTACCGAATGGTTTATTTCCTTGGAGAATAACATTTGGCGTCCAGGAGAGCCTTTAATTCATTCAGAGGCTCTAAAACGTGCTCTTAGATGTGTACCATAACGCAGAAGATTAGGAGGATATGTCAAAGAATCAGCTTTACTAAAATGGACCCGTTTGAAGAGTTAGTTCTCCAACAGCTATATGCATCTTTAAGGAAACGAATCAAGACATCTAGAGGGAGAATGAGGCATGGTTATCACATTAAAATATCAAGATACAAAGCATCCAATCACCTTCTCATCTATTCAAGTTGGAATCGTCTCCAACGGCCATATTCCACATTTATGATAAATTATTTGTTTCTCATTTTAGTTTTATTATCGTTAGCTTGTTTATGATCTGAGCATTATATAAGCTCCTTCAGTCTTTCAATCCAGAATTAATCAAAGTATTTTGTTCTTTTATTTCAAGTGTGTTTGCTTGAAGAATTGTTCTTTCTTTAGACTTAAGTGTGCGATTCATTTAGATCTTTAGACACTGCGAGTTAGCTTGTTAGTGTGATTCAATCTATTTCGTTCACAGATTGAGAGAGTCAATAACCCCATCGATTGAGAGAGTCAATCAAACCATCGCCTTCTATCTCAACATCAAGCCCATTTCCTCAAGAAAACTTGTAAACTCTTGATTATCTCGTGAACTTAAGTTTGGTTGATTCCAATCTTATATCATCTGGTATCAGAGTAGATTCCAATCTTATATCACTTAACTTCATCAATCATTCAATAACCGTAACCATGGCTATATTGGAAAAATATACTTTGTTATATTTGGCTTTTCATTTGGTTATACATATTCTATTTGTGGCCATTTCAATCAAAGTTGTTTGCGCTATGGTTTTTTTTTATTACTTGTAAGATTTTTTCAAGAAATCAATATGATGATAAAAGAGTACATTGATTTATATATCATGGAGTTTAGTAACACAATTGATAAATAAAAAAATTAGCATCTTTCAAGAAGGTAAATAATACTAACAAATAACTTGTTGCTATATTATTTTAAAAATTATGTTAGTTTTATTTAAATCGCACATTAAAATAAAATGATGACTATTTCGTTTTTAATTTTGATTATTAAAAACAATTTATCATATGGATTATGGTATTTTGGTAATTTTTAGTGTAGAAAGGTTAATTTTCATGTGTTACTTTTCAAAATATATAAAGTTTGAAAATATTTTTACAAA